TTAGTTATTACAAAACGTACCTTAGAAATAAACACTTAGATTACAAGATAAATAAGAAGTAATAGTGGGGGGGGGGGGGGTCCTAAATTTTGTAGCCTAAAGGATCACCCTATGCAACATAAATAATACTTCGTAACTCCCTCAAGATGGGGTGTTACTCGTATTATTATGTGGGCACAGACTATCATCTCCTGCTACCCGATTACTATCATTAAGTTATTACCTAAAGCGCACTAGTTGATTCTAAATCGTGCACTACCCGTCCCACACCTATGGTCCAGGGGGTTTTGGACCTCTATTTGGATGGTTCTACACCTTATCTGGGCTGCTCAAAAATGCAAAACTAGGCGACAAGCAAAATACATAAAGACTTCACACAAAATCAACTAAGGGCTCACATTAATCCCCACACTTAAATAGAAAATACGCAACCACATATGCAAATTAAGAGATTTTCAGAATTCAGAACCTTAACCCTATAGACATGATTTCAAGGTTGCTTTGAATCAAAGTACGTGGACAATTTTTGATGCAGGATATTGCTCATGGACAGAATTATTCTAGCATTATAAGCTGGTTATCGCAAATTTGAAGTCATTAACCCTATATGTTTTATGCTTAAGTGATCTACGCAGTTGAGTATAAAAAAATCTGCTGGGAGAGGTCCCAAAATTATTCGCAGTAGCATATATGAAACAGTATTTGAGCAAACTTAATATAAACAAGTTATAATCATTCCCTATAGGCAGGATCTATAATGAATAGTGCTTAGAGCTTATTTTATTGTCATATCTTAATCCTATGAGCATATTTTCTAGGTGAACGGCGCCAAATAGAATAATTGGAGTCTTATAGGCAGGATTTCTAATAACACATAGCAATAAACATAATTGCAGCATTTTCTACTTGTGTTTGCTAGTAGACAGTATGTGTGTGTGCTTTCTCTAATGGCATGGTTTCTATAGTGCACATAGTAATTGAACAACACGTATAGCAAATAATTATCAAGTCCTATAGGCATATTATCTACCTATTTTGCATGCAAATATTAAATTCTACCCATTTCCCCTTTTACTAGCACCCCAATCGTTTATACAAAAGTTATTACAGGCCCAATAATGAATAAAATCAAAGTATTTTACAAAATGATTACAATTTCAGCAAGCCCAAATAAAATACCCAACACTGTCTGGGCCTTCAGTAAGCATACCGAGGCCTCTAATAAGGATCCATATTCAACCCACGACCCCAGAATCCATAAAGGAGCAAAGTCGATTCATTTGACCACAATGCCAAGTATTGCACCATTTAAATCAGCCAATTCAGGTATACAACATACAACGTGATAGATTGGGATGAATGGGATTAGTTTAAGATTCAGGGATTGACTAAGGACCAAGTCCTAGTGTGCCAGAGTTCACAAGGGTCTCAATTGGACCCCGAGTAGTGCTCATACTAGGGAGGTCAACGATAGAACCTAGGTAGCCTTGGCTTTCAGCCGGCTAAGAATGATAACACAAAAGAGCCCAGGTAACAAGTGAAGGAGAGTAAACAAAGGTTGAGGTACAAAACTAAGGGATATAAACATAGTCAAGTGCACATAGAGCAGATAATAGAACATGCTTTAGGTTTTAGAAATAATCTTAGCAAAGATTTAGATAACAAGTTTAACACTTAGTGCATAAGTAGTCATTCATTAGCAGAATTAAAGGGAGAACAGGTTTGCATGATTGATGAAATACACGGATTCATAATAAAGGGAAAGGTCCAATTATGCAAAGTATAGGTCCTAATTTTATGACGGAGTCATACTAATTTTGTGGCAGAACAACATTTAGACATGATAAAAAGTAGATTACAATTACTAGTGAATTGAAGAGTCAAAACATGCTAAAGGGCATACTGATAGAGAACAGGATCAAAACATGCTATATAGGCGAGCTATCACCACAGAAATGCACAATAGGATAGTAAAATAGACTTGTGCCACTACTAGAAAATAGACCTATTGCAATAGTTTTTTAGCAACGGTTACTCAAACGTTGCAATAAAATATCTATGGCAACGGTTACAACCATCTCATAATCTTCTAAGACCTACTAAGATAGGTAGTAAAATAAACTATTACATTAGGACAAAAAACCGTCGCTGTAGATTGATGTATTGTGACGGTGACTTAATCCGTTGCAACAGAGTCATCTTTGGCAACGGTTCTTGAAAAAAAAGGGCTACTGGGTCGGTTTTACTTTCCCTCCCTGTTTTCCCTCTTCTAACTTTTTCGCGCCTTTTTTCACAAAAGAGAGACTAAGCGTCTCAGTGAAAAACAAAAACAAAAAGTAAAAGTCCTAAAAAAACGAAAAGCCTAAAGTTGATACAAGCCCTCCACACTCAAGATTACCATCGAGAAAGGCTTACGGGAAATTCCAAGAGATTAAGAGGTTCATATCTCTATCCAACTCTTTTTTTCTTCAAAACAGATTTGTTTTCTTAAACTTTTGCTATCATTAGTCAACAGAGAGCTTCTTGAGGCCTCTCCAGTTTGAAGCTAACTTAAGTCTCATCTCCTTTACACCAGGTAAGATTCATGTTTTATACTTGTTTATTAATTTATTTATTTGTAGAGTAAAAGACAAATTAGGAATAAATTATTGGTGTATTCTACCAATTTATATGTCTCGGTACTATTTGTGAAGGTAATCAGACAAAGTAAAGCAAAGACCTCGAATCGATTTTTTGCCGGCCTTCCGAAATATGTTTTTAATTTCAATTAGGATAATGTATACGGCAAAATCGGAGGGTCCAATTTCCCATCATCGAGGCAGCTCGAAAGATCACCTCGAAGCCTCGAGGCTGCAAAGATGTGCTCGAGCCTTCTCCCTCGGAGTCGATCGACCCCCGACCTTAAGAGGATATCGGTCGGGGCTAGAGTAAAAATGGGAAGTCCCTAAGACGCGGCTATGTCTGACAAAGCCTAGACAGGCTACTATGAGCCCTAATCGGGGCGTCACTTCCAACCATCCCATCTTCACACCTTTATAGCTAACAGATGTCTCACCGTATAAGTGTTCCCCTTCTATATAAAGGGGATTTTTACTATTTTATAAAGGACTGATGGTGCTACAAAGACTCTTGATACTGTTGCTCTATTTTATTATCTTCATACTTGCTCCACATTTATTGCTTATTTATTGCTTATCATTGGCCATAAAGAGCCTCCTTTAGTATTGCTGCATCTGTTAGCCCTTCCCCGATTCCCCCTGATTGCTCGAGCAGGAGCTCGAGATCTGACCTCGAGGCCTGCAAATCGACCAACTCGAGGCCATGAAAGGCTATCTCTCAGTTCGATTACTACTTTATTTTAGCTCGCGTCTCACCCTTGAACTTTACACACTTAGCATCAACTTCTCCACAACTAGCATAAAAATAGATCACGTATTTTTAAAGTCCCATCAACAAATTTAATTGTCATTACCTTTTCACAGTAAACAGTTTGGCGCCCACCGTGGGGCTAAAAATAATAGTGATTATTTTCTTGCTAGTTTCGTTACACAATGCAAGTTATCTTTCACACTTGTTCTTGTCCAAGATCTTCGATTTCAGGTCAAAATGTCTGGCTCAGTGAACAGAGTTGGGAACAACAACCTCGAAAACCACAAAGCGAGGGACATGGCTGTCCCAGATGCCAGTGCTCCATCGGAAAACTTGACCTGGGCGGAAGGAGAGATTTCTCAACACGACGTCCGTATGATTATTGGAGGGACTGACACCCCCCAAGGGCCCATATTCAAGCGGACGAGAAAATCCACCACAGAAGAGGGGCCGACCCGAAACCGCGTGTCCGAAGACACCCTTGCATTCAGCGAAGAGGATCTCAAGGCCATGACAGAACCGCACAATGACGCATTGGTAATCTCGTTTCTTTCAAACAACACTAAGATAAAACGTGTGCTCGTGGACCCAGGCAGTTCGGCCGACATAATCAGATCGGAGGTGGTAGGACGATTGGGGTTGCTCGATCGAGTTACTCCCATCTCTCGAATCCTCCATGGATTTAACATGATCGGCGAGGTAAAGAAAGGAGAGGTGACCCTCACGATCGACACGTCCGGCGCAGTTCAAAACACCAAATTCCAAGTCATCGATTGCGACAAGAGGTACAATGCATTGCTCGGCAGGCCTTGGATACACAGCATGAGGGCTGTACCATCAACCCTCACCAGATGATAAAATTTCCCACAAAGGACGGCGTAATGACCATATATGGAGAACAGCGGGCGGTTAAGGAAATGTTCGCGGTTTGCCACGATGTGCCGACCCCCACGGGCTCGATTTCGGACGTGCCTAGGAACACATAGGCCCCCGAGGACGACGAAGAAGACTACTTCACCCCTTGAACCTTTGTCGCACCCGAAGAATCGGACGCAACTAAGTCAACGGTCGAAGAATTGGAGCAGGCCGTTTTGGTCGAACACCTCCCAGATTGTAAAGTATATCTGGGAACGGGGCTAACCCCCGAACTCAGGAAAGGGTTCATTTAATTTCTTACCAACAATATTGATTGTTTCGCCTGGTTCCACTTAGATATGACAAGAATTCCGCCGGAAATAACCTCCCACAGACTAAGCGTTGATCCCAGATTTAAACCTGTAAAGCAGAAGAGAAGACCACAGTCTGAGGTAAAACATGCTTTCATTAGAGAAGAGGTGGAAAAGCTTCTTAAAATAGGATCCATTAGGGAGGTAAAATACCCCGAATGGCTGGCCAATGTAGTAGTGGTACCAAAAAAGGGAAACAAGCTAAGAATGTGCGTAGATTATAAAGACCTGAATAAAGCGTGTCCTAAAGATTCCTTTCCACTACCTAACATCCATCGTTTGATCGACGCTACGGCCGGCCACGAGACCCTCACCTTTCTCGACGCCTACTCGGGGTATAATCAAATCCAGATGAACCCCGAGGACAAGGAGAAAACTTCGTTCATCACGAAATATTGTACCTAATATTACAACGTAATGCCCTTCGGGCTAAAAAATGCGGGAGCAACCTACCAGCGCCTAGTTAATAAAATGTTCGAGCATCAAGTAGGAAAATCAATGCAAGTATATATTGATGACATGCTAGTTACGTCCCTGCGTGCAGAGGACCATTTAACTCATTTGCAGGAAACTTTCAACATCCTCAGAAATTACAACATGAAGCTGAACCCCGAGAAATGCGCCTTTGGGGTAGGTTCGGGAAAATTCCCGGGCTTCATGGTATCGAACCGGGGGATCGAGATTAACCCCGACAAAATTAAGGCCATCGAAGAAATCACGGTGGTAAATAATGTAAAGGCCGTGCAACGACTAATAGGGCGGATAACAGCCCTGGGATGATTTATATCAAGATCATTAGACAAAAGCCATCATTTCTTCTCTTTGCTTAAAAGAAAGAACAACTTCCAATGGACTCCAGAATGCCAACAAGCGTTAGAGGAGCTAGAACGATATCTGAGTAGCCCACCCTTGCTGCATACGCCAAAGGAGGACGAAACACTCTATCTCTACCTGGCAGTGTCTGAAATAGCGGTAAGCGGCGTACTGGTTCGAGAGGAGCAAGGTACGCAATTCCCTTTTTATTATGTAAGCCGGACCCTAGGGGATGCCGAAACCAGGTATCCCCATTTGGAAAAATTGGCTCTTGCGCTAATAAGCGCTTCGCGAAAGCTGAAGCTGTATTTTCAATGCCATCATATCTGCGTTTTGTCAACATACCCCCTCCGGAGCATACTGCATAAACCCGAGTTATCGGGCCGGCTGGCCAAATGGGCCATCGAGTTCGGGAGGTATGATATCGAGTATCAACCTCGAACGGCCATCAAGCCCCAAATCCTGGCGGACTTCGTGGCCGAATTCTCGCCCTCTCTCGCACCCGAGGTAGAGAAGGAACTTTTATTAAAATCAGGGACGTCCTTCGGGATATGGACCTTGTTCACAGACTGCGCCAAAAACATAAGGGGCTCCGGGCTTGGTATATTCTTGAGGCCACCCGTCGGCGGCGTAATTATACAATCTATAAAGACCGCAAAATTGACTAACAACGAAGCCGAGTACGAGACTATGATTGCAGGTTTAGAACTGGCTAAAAGCTTGGGAGCCGAGACCATCGAGGCAAGATGCGATTCACTCCTGGTAGTAAGCCAGGTGAACGGGAGCTACGAAGCTCGAGAAGATAGAATGCAGAGGTATCTGGACAAAATCCAAGTCGCACTACATCACTTCAAAGAATGGACCTTAGTCCACGTACCCCGAGAGCAGAACAGCGAGGCCGACGCCCTCGCAAATTTGGGATCTTCTGTTGAAGAAGAAGACCTACTCCCCGAGGCTGTTGTTCAGTTATCTAAATTGGTGGTCAAGGAGGGTCACGTTGAGATTAACTCCACCAGCCTAACATGGGATTTGAGGAATAAATATATTGATTATATAAAGGACGGGAAGCTGCCCGCGGACCTAAAAGAATCAAGGGCGCTGCGAACCAAGGCAGCCCGTTTCTCGCTCGACAAAAACAAGACTTTGTATAGGAGAACTTTCTACGGCCCCCTAGCAATATCTCTGGGGCCGGGTGACACGGATTATGTACTCCGAGAAATTCACGAGGGCACTTGCGAAAACCATTCCGGCGCCGACTCCTTAGCCCGAAAGGTGATCAGAGCAGGCTACTATTGGGACAACTTGGAAAAAAACACCAAAGAATTCATCCGAAAATGCGACAAATGCTAGAGATTCGCTCCTATGATCCACCAGCCCGGCGAGCAACTACACTCGGTCTTATCACCGTGGCCATTCATGAAATGGGGGATGGACATCATCGGCCCCCTGCCAACGGCACCAGGTAAAGCTAAATTCATCTTATTTATGACTGACTATTTCTCAAAATGGGTGGAAGCGCAGGCCTTCGAAAAAATAAGAGAGAAGGAAGTCATCAGCTTCATATGGGACCACATTATGTGCCGATTCGGAATCCCCTCCGAGATAACATGCGATAACGGGAGGCAGTTCATTGGGAGCAAGGTGACAAAGTTCCTTGAAGACCATAAAATCAAGAGAATCCTATCAGCCTTACCACCCATATGAAAACGGCCAGGCCGAATCCACGAATAAAACCATCATTCAAAACTTAAAAAAGAAGCTGGAGAACGCCAAAGGGAAGTGGAAAGAAACGCGGCCCGAAGTACTGTGGGCATACCGAACGACTTCCAAGTCAAGCACAGGGGAAACACCTTTCTCATTAATGTACGGCGCCGAAGCATTGATACCAGTGGAGGTCGGGGAGCCGAGCGCCAGATTCCAACACGCTACCGAGGCTCGAACAACGAAGCCAAGACCACGGCCCTTAAACTACTGGATGAAAAACGAGAATCTTCGCTGATCCGAATAGCCGCCCAGAAACAAAGAATCGAAAGGTATTATAACAGACGAACGAACCTCCGGTATTTCGGAGTCGGAGACTTGGTCCTAAGGAAAGTCACTCTCAACACACAAAATCCTAATGAAGGAAAACTAGGACGAACTGGGAAGGGCCATATCGCGTCCTCGGAATAGTCAGCAAAGGATCTTATAAGCTCGGCACCATGGAGGGCGAACAACTTCCAAGCAACTGGAACATATCAATGCAAAAGCGATATTATTGCTAGGACGTCCCATTGAAACTCCGCGAGTGCCCCCGGGCAAGTGTTACACTCTTTTCCTTCGACCAGATTTTGTCCCAGAAGGGTTTGCTGGCAGGGTTTTTAACGAGGCAACACCTATATGCTACCTAAGGGGAACCCAACAAATCTCCAAAGCTTCTTTTGCTATCAATCACGAACGCCGAAGGACATCCCTTCAGAAGATCATCCGCTCAGAAGAGCCAACGAACGCCGAACAGGGTCCCAATGGGAATACGATGTACCGGACCAAACGGCCGAATGAACCATGTCCGCACAGTCAAGCCCCGATGGCGGGAGCACATATACTAGTGCCAAATAATCAAGGAATGATTTTTGCCAACATGACTCATGCTCCAAAGAAAACTCAGCGTTTTCGCCAGAACGATTCCTCCATCGAAAAACGTCCCGAATACTCGGAGACTGCCATCAATAATTCGGCACCCGCATGACCTCAGGGTCGAAACTCCGAACTAATAAGCCCTCAACGAGGCAGCACGAAAATCATGAAATATCTCCAAAAAGAAAACGTCCCGAATACTCGGAGACTAGCGCCAAGGAACTCGGCATACGCACGACCTCAGTGTCGGAATCTCCAAAGTCGTAAGCCCTCAATGAGGCAATCCCAAGCTCACTAGTAACGGTTCTCGAGCCAAAATGAACTCGATGACTCGGAGACTATCTCCAATCGCCATTCAGCAAAAAACCCGAGGCCGTAAGACCCCGAGCGGGTAGACTCGGTCTTGAAAAACTTACACAAAGCAACGACACAAACTGTAAGACCTCAAAAGGAATGAAAGTTTTGTAAGACCTTATTATAGGCATAACATCAATCTCGAAGTTCAGGCTATATATCGAATTTGTAAGACCCCTAAAAAGGCATACCCTCGATATAGATGCCTAAACTACTATACTCGGGACCAAAAAATGGCTCTGGCCAAGTATAAATGACTACGGTCATACGGCTACACAAGCCAAACTAACGTGACTCGGGGACGCCGGACCGTCGCTACAAAATCATAGGCCATTACTTCGAATGTACATAAAAAAGAACCGGTTAAGAAGGCTACCCTCAACAGGCAAAAGAGCTTCAACCATGTCAGCTCCAAATCATAAGGCTTCTAGCTACTCAGCCTACGAGCCAAACCTTACAAGGTGCTCGAACATCGCCGCAAACGACTGGAAATCGAGGTTCTTCCCGAACCGATGACAGGTCGGGCAAAATCATTGCAAAAGTCCTTAACGAGAGGAAAATAAAGCCTACATATGCCTAAGGGCAAAGCGTAAGAGCCATTGTCGCCAGCTTAACGAGCCTCAGGGCCGCACATATGCCTAAGGGCAAAGCGTAAGAGCCATTGTTGCCAGCCTAACGAGCCTCAGGGCCACACACACACTTAAGGGCAAAGCATAAGAGCCATTGTCGCCAGCTTACATAAAAGATCGCTTCGATCGAAGGCGTATGAGCCATTATTTCCCGCCCAATACAAACGTAAAACTTGAGGGTCAAATGAGCTCGAGTCGAAACCCGACTCGGAGACTT